ACTTAACTACCGAATAAATTATTAAATATTAATTAATTCGTTCCGATTAAAAAATTTATAAATTAAATTAAATCGAGATATTTAGTATTTAAAAAGTGAAACAAATTTTAGTGGAACAAATTAAAAATTAAAAATGTTATCCTTATAATCATAATATAATAATATTTATAATCTTATAATATTATAATGTTTGACTGTTTTAAATTTTAATATATCCATATTTCTATTTAATTTTAAGATTCAATTTTATGTATAAATCAATAACTGGCCACCAAAGCCGCGCATTCTTGAAAACAGGATTAACTTGTTTATAGTTATACGACAAAGTAAATTAAAAATTATCCGTGGTTTTTAAAAATAAAATATAATTTTACCTAAATCCTTGTCATACGTTGTATGACCCGCCGCGCACGAGTGCGCGGCTCCCCCTGTATCGTCGAAACTCTACAGTGAAGCGACCGTGGGGGTCACCGCGTGATACAACTAAATCCAAAGCCAGCTTTATAAAATTTATTATTAGATCATAATATATCGTCAATATTCTAAATATTTACAATGCAAATGCAACATTTAATCAATTTATAAACAAGCGTACTCCAGCCCCTACACGCATCAATTCCTTTGCGGCGCGGCCCAAGCCGCGCACGCTCGTATTGGCGGCCGGTTAACGGGTAATACTTGTAAAATATTTGTTCCATTGGACCGTCGACGAGTCCAACTCGGCGCGCGTCCTGGTAGGTTGTAAACCTACAAGCGACCAGTTATTGACTTATACATAAAATTGAATTTTAAATAGAAATGTGAATATATTAAACTATAAAACTTTCAAAACGGAGGCTTATAAATATTATTATATTATGATTGTAAAATAAAGGATAAAATTTTAAATTTGTTTCACTAAAAAATTTGTTTCACTATTTTATACTTTTAATTGCTTTTCAATAAATATCGTGTCAATGTGTACGTCTAAATTGTAAATGTTCATGTTTTGTGTAAACTGAATCCAATTGAGACTAGTGACAAGGATGAGGACCCAAATGCCTGTACGGCTTTTTCGGACCCCTGTGGACCACTTCTCTTGAAATCGCTCTACAACATTACAACAAATGGTTAAAAGCGCCAAAAATCGATTTGAGAGATTTTCAGTCTCTAGTACAATCACGGTAGTAATATATAGTAAGTGTGTGCCGCTGCAGTTTGATTAGATTTTAAAAAAAGAAAAAAGGGGGGACCCTCAACCCATGTAGCTGATACACCTCGCAGCAAGTAGACTAAAGTGGCTCTTGCTTGTGAAGGGTGTATCAACTACCTGCCGAGGCGGTGGGTTGGGAGTCCCCCCTGGGATCATTTCGTCCGTAATTAGATTGCTGCAATTTAAATGATCCCAAAATGATCCCAGGGGGGACTCCCAACCCACCGCTTCGGCGGGTAGTTGATGCACCGATCACAAGCAAGAGCCACTTTGGTCTACTTGCTGTGAGGGGTCTCAGCTACATGGGTTGGGGGTCTCCCCTTTTTTTTCTTTTTTTTTACTGCAATTTAAATTGTTTGGATTGACAACAGCTCTTCATGTGGAAGCTTCATCCAACTGCTCCATTGGTGGAATAGACTTTGTGAAATAGGCCCAAGATATGGGTACCATTCCAACGCTAAAAAGACAATTCTGATTGTCAAAAATCCCGAAGAACTAAACGAAGCTTAGACACTATTTGAAAACATGGGAGTTAAGATCACGACATCCGAAGAACACCATCTTGGTGCTGTTGTAGGCTCAAAAGAATTCAGGGAAGATTACATCAAAGGAAAAGTCGAAAAATGGATAGTTGATATTATATATTGAACAACTAGCAGATGAAGCAACCGAAAAACCACAAAGTAAAGTAAAAAAAGTTATTTTTTTCCCTACTATAACAGACATTGGAGAGCACTTTGTCCCACTTGAGAGCAAGATCATGTGCTCATTCCAGCCCTCCTCTGTTGCCCTCTCAACCAGCATGACAAAGATATCCTTGAACTCCCTGTTCGATGTGGAGGCCTAGGTATCATCAATACCGTCAGGATAGCATATTGTGAATATGCATACTCAGTGACCAGGATATCACCAATGACCAAGCTGGATATGGGCAAGATGAAAGAAAAGAAAGAAGAACTGAGGAAACAGAAACAGAACTGAGGAAACAGAAAGAAGAGTTTTTTATCCCAAAGGTTCAAGATGCTCTATAATGGGTCAGATCATCTTAAGAACCGCTTAAACCAAGCAAGAGAAAAGGCAGCATCAACATGGCTCACAGTATTACCTCTAAAGGACCTCAACTATGTTCTAAACAAGCAAGAGTTCCAAGACAGCATATGCATACGCTACGGTTGGAAGATCCAAGGAGGGCCCTCTAAATGTGCCTGCAGAAATATGAACAGTGTCTACCACGCACTTGATTGTAAATTAGGTGGATACGTTTCCATGCGCCACAATGCCATAAGAAACACTGCAGCTTCATTCCTTCAAGAAGCAAGGTGTAAGGATGTTAGAATTTTTAAAAAATAAAAAGAAGGGTGTATGGATAGAACCTGCATTCCTGCCTGTCCAACCAACTTCATTCTCCAGGAAGACCAACACCCAAAATGAAAGAAAAAACAAATGTTTGTAGATCGTTTCTCTGAGATGATAGCTGACCACAATAAAGAAGCTAAGAGCCAGGTCAAAAATCACATCAGAACACGACTCAGGTTTGATCTGCTACAAAGCACACTCACAGCATGGGGTGTATCCAATGGTGAAAAGTGGTGAAATTTAACAATTTGGTAACCCGATTCACCTTAAAGGTCAGTCACAATTTTTCACCATTTTACACCATTTTACACCCATTCTAGTTTTTTTCCAAAATATCAAATTAAAATATTATATGATGTGTTTTCTGGTACTATACGACAATACCAAGAGCTCAGTTTTGAAGAACCTTAATCGCCATGTTCACTATAAGTAACCAGTTTTGATGTACTTTTCTCACCATGATCGTCAAAAGTTACTAGTTTTGATGCATCTTACTCTCCATGTTCACCAAAAGTTATCATTTTTGATGTACCATACTCTCCATGTTCACCAAAAGTTAACAGTTTCGATGTACATTTCTCACCATGGCCATGATCACCAAAAATTACTAGTTTAAAATATTTATCTCACTCGCCATGTTCACCAAAAATTACCAGTTCCGATGTACCTTACTCGCCATGTTTACTAAAAGTAACCAGTTTGGATGTACCTTTCTCATCATGATCACACAAAAGGTACTAAATTGATGTACTTTTCTCACCATGATCGTCAAAAGTTACTAGTTTTGATGCATCTTACTCTCCATGTTCACCAAAAGTTACCATTTTTGATGTACCATACTCTCCATGTTCACCAAAAGTTAACAGTTTCGATGTATATTTCTCACCATGGCCATGATCACCAAAAATTACTAGTTTAAAATATTTATCTCACTCACCATGTTCACCAAAAGTTACCAGTTTCGATGTACCTTTCTCACCAACTTATTGTTTCATTGAAAAATATTCGTGTACATTTTTTTGAAATGAATTTCATTTTCGCATTTATTTGATAGTTTGGATAGTCAGATCGAGACAAATTTTATTGAATGGTGTTTGTACATTTAAATTACGTTTGTCCTGAAAAAATGAGAGTTTTAGCTTCTCAGATGACCAAGATATGAAGCATAACGAGTTTGTGGCCATGTTCACGTTTCGATGTTCATTTCTCACCATGGCCATGATCACCAAAAATTACTAGTTTTTATTTATCTTATTCGCCATGTTCACCAAAAGTTACCAGTTTCGATGTAACTTACTCTCCATGATCACCAAAAGTTACTAGTTTTGATGTATCTTACTCGCAAAATTTAATAAAAGTTACTAGTTTTGATGTACCTTACTCGCCAAGTTCACCAAAAGTTACTATTTTTGATGTACCTTACTAGCCAAATTCACCAAAAGTTACCAGTATCAATGTACCTTTCTCGCCATATTCACTAAATGTTACCAGTTTCAATGTATCTTTCTCGCCATTTTCACTTACAGTTACCAGTTTCAATGTACCTTTCTCACCATATTCACCAGTTTCACCATGTTCAGTGTTCACTAAAAGTTACCAGTATTGATGTACCTTTCTCGCCATATTCACTAAACGTTACCAGTTTCAATGTATCTTTCTCGCCATTTTCACTTACAGTTACCAGTTTCAATGTACTTTTCTCACCATATTCACTTATAGTTACCAGTTTCAATGTACCTTTCTCACCATGTGCACTAGTTTTGATGAAAAATGGTGATTGATAGTTTTTGTGAATCGAGTTTCCGAATTGTAAAACCTAGACGTACTTTAAATACAATGAAACACATGTTTCTTTATATCCTTAAAATCTGAGTTAATAACGAAATAATGTTTTAGAGTGATAACACCAGGTCAAAACTAAAACTAGAAGGCAAATATACTCATCGAAAAAATGGTGAAAAATGGCGAAATCTTACAATTTGGAAACCCGATTAACCATAAAAATCATTCACAATTTTTCACCATTTTACACCATTTTTTACCATTGGATTTGACATTTTAGGAGGCGGTTGGTAAGGGGTGGTGGTGGAAAACTCCAAATACCAATTGGTGATCATGTAATGCCCCAACCACTTACTGCTGAGCACCCCCGTTTTTATCTAGTATCTCTAGTTTTTATAAGAAATACTAGAATCTCTAGAATCTCTAGTTTTTATCAGAAATACTAACTCAGTTATTGTAGTCTGTTGGTCGAACGACTTTCAAATATATTATACTGATAATACTTGTCTGTACAGAACCTGAAAAGCTTTTAATACAGAATTACTTTATTATTATTGCTGCTATTGCTTTATAAATCCTTTCTATTTCACATTTTGCAGTGAATAATGTTGATTTTTTGAGATATCCCATTGGTTTTGCCTTGATATTAACATACTCTTTGACTAGTGACTATGTCTAACGGCAACGCAACAGAATCCCATTTTCAAGAAATGAAGCAAGCAAAAGAGCCTAGGGGTGAAGGTCAAACTAGGACAAACAGGGTAGACCGTAACCAGGGCAACCGTAACCAGGGCAACCACAGACAATCTTTTTATCGGTCAGACAAAGACAGCTATTCTAGCGATCGCAGGTCCGACAAAGACAGCTATTCTAGCGATCGCAGCAGAGATAAAAGAAGCAACGATCGTGAGCGATTTAACCAGGCTCCTAAGTATAGAGAACCAAGGTATCATTCTGGTACCAGAAAAAACCATGCTTCAAAAGCAAAACAAACAAGGAAGGGGGAATCAGAGGTTATCCAACCAGAGAATTTGCAAAAACTTAGTCTTGAGCCCCCTCAAAATAATGGGGAAACTGTTATCAAAGAGAAAGCCGCAGTTTTACAAGAACCTACATCTGGTAATTTGCTTCTCTCCAAGGAATCTCAATCAAATCACTCCCAGACTACTAAATCAAAGCCATTCCATGGCCACTACCATCATAAGAACTCTAATAAACCTAGGTTTTCTAAGATATTCTCTGAAAATGGTAAAGATTCCAAAACTGCTGGTGGGGAACTAGTTGGGAACAAGGAATCTGAAGTTAAAACAGAACCTTCCGTACTGATTACAGATAGAAAGATACCTGACTCTAATGCTACTTCCAATTCTGGAGATGATCCCAATGGTATTAACTATAGTTTTGAGTTTATGATTATTTTAAAAATGACATGTCCCCAAATCGAGTGTTAGATGGATTATGTAATAATGTTAAAATAATATGTCTCCCTACAACTCAATATTTCAGACTTGCACCATGTGAGAGATGCGCCGCTAATTGACCAGCTGAAAGTTATTAGTCAGGAGCTTAACAATCCCAAAGTAAGTAGTCCAATTTTAACACTACTAGTTACCACCTAGTTACCACCTAGTTACCACCTAGTTACCACCTAGTTACCACCTAGTTACCACCTAGTTACCACCTAGTTACCACCTAGTTACCACCTAGTTACCACCTAGTTACCACCTAGTTACCACCTAGTTACCACCTAGCCTAGTTACCACCTAGTTACCACCTAGTTACCACCTAGTTACCACTAGTTACCACCTAGTTACCACCTAGTTACTACCTAGTTACCACCTAGTTACCACCTAGTTACCACCTAGTTACCACCTAGTTACCACCTAGTTACCACCTAGTTAGTAGTTACCACCTAGTTACCACCTAGTTACCACCTAGTTACCACCTAGTTACCACCTAGTTACCACCTAGTTACCACCTAGTTACCACCTAGTTACCACCTAGTTACCACCTAGTTACCACCTAGTTACCACCTAGTTACCACCTAGTTACCACCTAGCCTAGTTACCACCTAGTTACCACCTAGTTACCACCTAGCCTAGTTACCACCTAGTTACCACCTAGTTACCACCTAGTTACCACTAGTTACCACCTAGTTACCACCTAGTTACTACCTAGTTACCACCTAGTTACCACCTAGTTACCACCTAGTTACCACCTAGTTACCACCTAGTTACCACCTAGTTAGTAGTTACCACCTAGTTACCACCTAGTTACCACCTAGTTACCACCTAGTTTGTCCTAGTTTGATCTCTGTCTTTGAGATTGTCTGTTTGTGCTTTACATAAAATATTTCCTTTTTCAGTCTGAGGACGTATTTGCTAAGTTGAAAAGTGGGGAGGGAGTGGAGCTGGAGAATTTGAAACAACTGTACGACAAAATACCAGACATAACTAAAACTGAGATTATAAAGGAGACTGAGGAGTGGGCTACTAGTGCTCCTTCTACAGAAACTGTGTTACAGGTAAGTGGGCTACTAGTGCTCCTTCTACAGAAACTGTGTTACAGGTAAGTGGGCTACTAGTGCTCCTTCTACAGACACTGTGTTACAGGTAAGTGGGCTACTAGTGCTCCTTCTACAGAAACTGTGTTACAGGTAAGTGGGCTACTAGTGCTCCTTCTACAGACACTGTGTTACAGGTAAGTGGGCTACTAGTGCTCCTTCTACAGAAACTGTGTTACAGGTAAGTGGGCTACTAGTGCTCCTTCTACAGGAACTGTGTTACAGGTAAGTGGGCTACTAGTGCTCCTTCTACAGAAACTGTGTTACAGGTAAGTGGGCTACTAGTGCTCCTTCTACAGAAACTGTGTTACAGGTAAGTGGGCTACTAGTGCTCCTTCTACAGAAACTGTGTTACAGGTAAGTGGGCTACTAGTGCTCCTTCTACAGAAACTGTGTTACAGGTAAGTGGGCTACTAGTGCTCCTTCTACAGAAACTGTGTTACATGTAAGTGGGCTACTAGTGCTCCTTCTACAGAAACTGTGTTACAGGTAAGTGGGCTACTAGTGCTCCTTCTACAGAAACTGTGTTACAGGTAAGTGGGCTACTAGTGCTCCTTCTACAGACACTGTGTTACAGGTAAGTGGGCTACTAGTGCTCCTTCTACAGAAACTGTGTTACAGGTAAGTGGGCTACTAGTGCTCCTTCTACAGAAACTGTGTTACAGGTAAGTGGGCTACTAGTGCTCCTTCTACAGAAACTGTGTTACAGGTAAGTGGGCTACTAGTGCTCCTTCTACAGAAACTGTGTTACAGGTAAGTGGGCTACTAGTGCTCCTTCTACTGAAACTGTGTTACAGGTAAGTGGGCTACTAGTGCTCCTTCTACAGAAACTGTGTTACAGGTAAGTGGGCTACTAGTGCTCCTTCTACAGGAACTGTGTTACAGGTAAGTGGGCTACTAGTGCTCCTTCTACAGAAACTGTGTTACAGGTAAGTGGGCTACTAGTGCTCCTTCTACAGAAACTGTGTTACAGGTAAGTGGGCTACTAGTGCTCCTTCTACAGAAACTGTGTTACAGGTAAGTGGGCTACTAGTGCTCCTTCTACAGAAACTGTGTTACAGGTAAGTGGGCTACTAGTGCTCCTTCTACAGAAACTGTGTTACAGGTAAGTGGGCTACTAGTGCTCCTTCTACAGAAACTGTGTTACAGGTAAGTGGGCTACTAGTGCTCCTTCTACAGAAACTGTGTTACAGGTAAGTGGGCTACTAGTGCTCCTTCTACGGAAACTGTGTTACAGGTAAGCTGAGGAGAACAACTTGTCCCAATAATTGCGGCTCCAATAACACAACTCTGAGGAATTCTACAGTGCCCCAATAATATATAATATTCAATAATATTCTACAGTGGAATATTCCCCGTAATCCTAACCTGATACTATGTTTTAATGGAACGTCCTTATTAACTTTAATATAAACCAAACCCTTTTTAGGAGTCGAGTAAGTCAAGTGAGATATCTAGTGAGGAGATACGTTCAATGCCCTGTTGTCATGGCAACTGCTGTCCTCCTTACTACCCTCATGGGTAATCTTTATTCTTATAACTAATATATTGTACTATTTTATCACAACTATTTTATCACAACTATTTTATTAATTGTGGTTAAATGATAATAAAGTTCAGAATAAATGGAACTGCGAAAACTTGTTCTCTTAAAAATATGGTAGTTGTACCGCTTGATACTCCGATCATATCTGTAGAGTGTATGACTGGCAATAAGATAGGTCCTCCCTTTAAATACTGTTGTTTTGATAATGATCTTGTCCACTGCCCAGGTATATGCCACCCGCGCTGCCCCCGCACCCTGCCTACTACTACGCGGCACTGTGGAACTATCATCACCCAGTCCCCCCGCCTCCTGTACAGCGTATAGCAAATGCACCTTCCCTCCCGCCTCCTTGTGATAACGGTATTTAACTCTCTCTCTCTCTCTCTCTCTCTCTCTCTCTCTCTCTCTCTCTCTCTCTCTCTCTCTCTCTCTCTCTCTCTCTCTCTCTCTCTCTCTCTCTCTCTCTCTCTCTCTCTCTCTCTCTCTCTCTCTCTCTCTCTCTCTCTCTCTCTCTCTCTCTCTCTCTCCTCTCTCTCTCTCTCTCTCTCTCTCTCTCTCCTCTCTCTCTCTCTCTCTCTCTCTCTCTCTCTCTCTCTCTCTCTCTCTCTCTCTCTCTCTCTCTCTCTCTCTCTCTCTCTCTCTCTCTCTCTCTCTCTCTCTCTCTCTCTCTCTCTCTCTCTCTCTCTCTCTCTCTCTCTCTCTCTCTCTCTCTCTCTCTCTCTCTCTCTCTCTCTCTCTCTCTCTCTCTCTCTCTCTCTCTCTCTCTCTCTCTCCTCTCTCCTCTCTCTCTCTTTCTCTCTCTCTCTCTCTCTCTCTCTCTCTCTCTCTCTCTCTCTATCTCTCTCTCTCTCTCTCTCTCTCTCTCTCTCTCTCTCTCTCTCTCTCTCTCTCTCTCTCTCTCTCTCTCTCTCTCTCTCTCTCTCTCTCTCTCTCCCTCTCTCTCTATCTCTCTCTAGAAATTTGTTTAAGTGAATATAAACCTTTGTTACTTCTTCCAACAACCCTGAGAGGTATTAAAGAGAAGTTACATTTTTCACAATTTCAGCTGCACTGCACAAGAGATACATCACAAGAAGTGCTGTGAGTTTATTAAGATAGCATTTATATGTGAACCATTATTTTGTTTATAAACATATAAATATGCCCAACAGATATTCCTTTAATCTATTTGATTTTATTCGATTTATTTAGTTAGTACATATCATGTGGAACTGTGAAACTAACGCAACTGAGAATTATCTTATAATTTTTATTCTACTCTCCCTAAAGGTATAGTTAGAAGTAGGTTAGGGACCTTTTGTCACACTGTCGCATCGTAAAGGTTCTACTCAAATTGTTATTGCGCACGCGCGAACATCTGTTTAATGCATATGTTGCGCGAATTTGACGTTTGAGGAGCATGAAATGCACGTACACTCAATTCCCTGCCACTCCCTGCCCTGCGTTATTTACAAGGGAAGGAGTTTATAATAATCCTCCTTGAAACAAATTGTCTGAAGATTTGTAACAAATCAATTTCAACTGAAAGTTTTGGCCGGGTTGCCTGGGGACTAACCGTATTGAAATGTGGGTATATTTTCAGAAGACGCCTGGTAGTATAGTATTTACGTTACATGTATCTGACAACTTGAGGATAGTTAGTGTGCGCTCTGAAGATAGTTTTACCATGACAGCAGACCTATGTAATGAGGAGGGTAAGTTATAGTTACCATAACAACTAACGTATGGCTGCTTCAGTATACATCCGGGAATACCAACTAAAACGGCATTGATTTACAGATTAGTGCAATATTGGATGTTTTAACATTTACCTGTGAATTGTTCTATTCTCCAACGAGGGGTCGTTCACATATTAATTTTTGGCGCATTTGACCCCCCACCCCCCGTAATCATTTTTTCACATAGCTATTGTGTCAAAATTAAATTAGCGTAATCATTTGGAAACCCCACCCCCCCCCCCCCCCCCCGATTTTCACACTAGCGTATTAATTTGGAAACCCCCCACCTCCCCCTCCCCCTAACTGAGGTTGCTATGGAAACCCCCCCCCTCGGCTGATAACGTAATATTTGAACGACCCCTGACTGACACGTCATCTTGAAGATATTACAATTGAAACCCCATTTAAGCAGGTTGATTGTGTCTGATGTAATTAGTACTATATAATACCCTATTTCAGGAGAGAAGATAGCGGAGAACTTTATGCTGCACGCGGAAACCTCCCCCAAACTGTGGGAACAATACGCCTTCTCAGGGAACCACACTCTACACTTTAACGTTACAGCACCCTGTTAGTTATCTTACTCCTTACTATAATTATCTGTCACGTGATCTGTGCATCATCACCCCATATGAATCAAGTTACCATAGCAACCTCAGTTAGTTACCATAGCAACCTCAGTTAGTTACCATAGCAACCTCAGTTAGTTACCATAGCAACCTCAGTTAGTTACCATAGCAACCTCAGTTAATTACCATAGCAACCTCAGTTAGTTACCATAGCAACCTCAGTTAGTTACCATAGCAACCTCAGTTAGTTACCATAGCAACCTCAGTTAGTTACCATAGCAACCTCAGTTAGTTACCATAGCAACCTCAGTTAGTTACCATAGCAACCTCAGTTAGTTACCATAGCAACCTCAGTTAGTTACCATAGCAACCTCAGTTAGTTACCATAGCAACCTCAGTTAGTTACCATAGCAACCTCAGTTAGTTACCATAGCAACCTCAGTTAGTTACCATAGCAACCTCGGCTAGTTACCATAGCAACCTCAGTTAGTTACCATAGCAACCTCAGGTACCACGGTGGTCGTTGTCACGTTTCTACACGAGATACCCCTCAGATAACGGGAAATGTTAACAAACAACAGTGGTTACCATAGAAACAACTATTAGGGCGGACTAGTCATAGCGAGGAATTTAAAGGGCCGGGTTTGCCAATAAGTTTATTTAATTAAAAAAACTTAAATATTTGTAGTTAAAAACCGTTCAAGCGTTAGTACATTTTTAATTTGTAAATTTTAAGTTATTTGTTTTTATATGATACGTTTAAACAACTTTTTTCTTCTCCCAAGGGTTTTACTTACTTACTTGTACTCTCCGATGTACCCTGTTTTACTTCCTAAATATCCTCTAATTATCACTACTGCTTACTAAGTTAGTAACTAAGATAGATGGTCATGTTCATACAATATGTCGTGTAAAAGTATTGAAGTAAATTGTTTTGTAGCTCTAAGCTCTATCACAGTTGTTTTTGGTATTTACTAATGAGGTAAGGGGCCATCTACTTTAGGACGTCCGCCAAAATCACAGATTTTCAAGACACCCCCCTCCCCCTGTCCGGGTGTGTCCGAATTTTCAAAACAATCCCCCCTCCCCCGGACGTCCGGATTTCCAGCTACTTTTAAGAGTAAAAATAAAACCAACTCAAATTCATTGTTAATATAATTCAAAGAGTTGAAGTAAAATTCAAAGAGTTGCAATAAATGGGACTTTACCGGATTTTCAGAAACCACCCCCTCCCCTTGCCGGATTTGTCCGAAATGATGGTATGAAACAAATTGAGGTACTGGGAGTCAAAATCCCGAATACAATTGCAAAATCATATTGTCCCAATCTCTGTCCCATTTTCAGTTTTTGAAGATGAAATTTCCAGGACCGAAATTTTACAGTTTTGACTGATTTTTTCACCTGCAACCAATTAGTAAGTCAACTATAGATGGCAAATGACACGATTGAGGTGGTGGAAGTTTGATTTCGGTCGGAGGAAGCCCACAGCAAAAAGCTTAACAAAACGAAAAGTTGTATTTTCAAAATGCTGTCCCATTTTCAAATATGAAATTTTCTGAACCCAAATTTGACAGATTGGGTGAAATGTTTGCCCAGAAACCAGTCAGTTAGTTAATTGATGATGGTATAAAAACCAAATTGAGGTACTGGGAGTTAAAATCCCGAATAAAATTGCAAAATCATATTGTCCCAATCTCTGTCCCATTTTCAGTTTTTGAAGATGAAATTTCCAGGACCGAAATTTTAAAATGTTGACTGATTTTTTCACCTGCAACCAATTATTAAGTCAACTATAGATGGCAAATGACACGATTGAGGTGGTGGAAGTTTGATTTCGGTCGGAGGAAGCCCACAGCAGAAAGCTTAACAAAACGAAAAGTTGCATTTTCAAAATGCTGTCCCATTTTCAAATATGAAATTTTCTGACCCCAAATTTGACAGATTGGATGAACTTTTTGCCCAGAAACCAATTAGTTAGTTAGTTGATGATGGTATGAAACCAAATTGAGGTACTGGGAGTCAAAATCCCGAATAAAATTGCAAAATCATATTGTCCCAATCTCTGTCCCATTTTCAGTTTTTGAAGATGAAATTTCCAGGACCCAAATTTTACAGTTTTGACTGATTTTTTCACCTGCAACCAATTAGTAAGTCAACTATAGATGGCAAATGACACGATTGAGGTGGTGGAAGTTTGATTTCGGTCGGAGGAAGCCCACAGCAGAAAGCTTAACAAAACGAAAAGTTGTATTTTCAAAATGCTGTCCCATTTTCAAATATGAAATTTTCTGAACCCAAATTTGACAGATTGGATGAACTTTTTGCCCAGAAACCAGTTAGTTAGTTAATTAGATTAGATTTTAGATTTGAAAAATTTTCAAAACGGTATATACAAATCAACAGGATTATAAAACATAAAAATAAAAACCGCTTTGTCGGCAAATGCCAGGGCCCTAACAATCCACTCAAAAAAATTCAAAACAGGACCCAGAAGCTTGTAAGCCACTGGTCAAAAAAAAAGTGAAATCTAATTAAATAAAGATTTTGTTCAAAAATCAAATAAAATCAAAATTACGCGACCAAAATTCAAAAACTCTCATAAATGTGAAAATCTTAGTATCAATCAATATCCATGATCAGAATAATTGAGGAAAAACGCGAAAATCACATACATTACTGTATTACAACAGATGTCAAAATTGTTATTAACAGAGATCCAATGTGTCCATAATAAAATAATAAAGTTCAACTAGCTACCCAATCAAAAGGTAGTCAAGACAGGGTAACTAGAGAGTAGGGATAAATTTGCTATCAGTGAGAAAGATGAGGGAATAGTCAGCATCAGGATGCAGAGAGTTTTCCCGTATGCGTCCATGCTTTAGGTGTAGTGTCAAAGTTGTGACTTCCAGTAAGATCAGGTAATCTGGTGATCTTAAACCCGAGCATCTCGAACCCCGTTTGACTCTTCTCACCCGGTGTCGCACAATACATGTACTGTGCGACACCAAGTGAGAAAAGCTGCTGAAATAAGGTTACGGAAAATGGGGGGGTTATCAAACCCCCACATAGTAAAGAAACGGGGCGTTTAATGAGGGGGAAGTGTTGGAGCTATGCCCCTCAGGGGGTAAATTGAGATTCAAAATAGAACATTAAGCAAGGTAAAACAGCTAAAAACGCAGCTCAAATGATCACACACACTGAATAAGAATTGTCACAAATTGAACATGAACATGCACATGCAGTCGGAATTACCCAGCTTGAATAAGAATCTAAAAAATGTCCAATTTGAACATGTAAATGTACATGCAGTCACATGCCAAAATATCAAAAACATGCAATATGGTAACAACATGCATGGTGTTAACGTGTAACTGAGTATGACTCGGGGTTCTTAGATGCAGTGACAAAAAATGTTTGCGCATCAAGATTGGATGGTTCCCATTTTAATTGATGATGGTATAAAAACCAAATTGAGGTACTGGTAACTGGGAGTTAGAATCCCGAATAAAATTGCAAAATCATATTGTCCCAATCTCTGTCCCATTTTCAGTTTTTGAAGATGAAATTTCCAGGACCGAAATTTTACAGTTTTGACTGATTTTTTCACCTGCAACCAATTAGTAAGTCAACTATAGATGCCAAATGACACGATTGAGGTGCTGGAAGTTTGATTTCGGTCAGAGGAAGCCCACAGCAGAAAGCTTAACAAAACGAAAAGTTGTATTTTCAAAATGCTGTCCCATTTTCAAATATGAAATTTTCTGAACCCAAATTTGACAGATTGGATGAACTTTTTGCCCAGAAACCAATTAGTCAGTTAATCGATGATGGTATGAAACCAAATTGAGTACTGGGAGTCAAAATCCCGAATAAAATTGCAAAATCATATTGTCCCAATCTCTGTCCCATTTTCAGTTTTTGAAGATGAAATTTCCAGGACCGAAATTTTACAGTTGTGACTGATTTTTTCATCCTGCAACCAATTAGTAAGTCAACTATAGATGCCAAATGACACGATTGAGGTGCTGGAAGTTTGATTTCGGTCAGAGGAAGCCCACAGCAGAAAGCTTAACAAAACGAAAAGTTGTATTTTCAAAATGCTGTCCCATTTTCAAATATGAAATTTTCTAAACACAAATTTGACAGATTGGATGAAATTTTTGCCCAGAAACCAATTAGTCAGTTAATCGATGATGGTATGAAACCAAATTGAAGTACTGGGAGTCAAAATCCCGAATAAAATTGCAAAATCATATTGTCCCAATCTCTGTCCCATTTTCAGTTTTTGAAGATGAAATTTCCAGGACCCAAATTTTACAGTTGTGACTGATTTTTTCATCCGCAACCAATTAGTAAGTCAACTATAGATGCCAAATGACACGATTGAGGTGCTGGAAGTTTGATTTCGGTCAGAGGAAGCCCACAGCAGAAAGATTAACAAAACGAAAAGTTGTATTTTCAAAATGCTGTCCCATTTTCAAATAGGAAATTTTCTAAACACAAATTTGACAGATTGGATGAAATTTTTGCCCAGAAACCAATTAGTCAGTTAATCGATGATGGTATGAAACCAAATTGAAGTACTGGGAGTCAAAATCCCGAATAAAATTGCAAAATCATATTGTCCCAATCTCTGTCCCATTTTCAGTTTTTGAAGATGAAATTTCCAGGACCCAAATTTTACAGTTGTGACTGATTTTTTCATCCTGCAACCAATTAGTAAGTCAACTATAGATGCCAAATGACACGATTGAGGTGCTGGAAGTTAGATTTCGGTCAGAGGAAGCCCACAGCAGAAAGATTAACAAAACGAAAAGTTGTATTTTCAAAATGCTGTCCCATTTTCAAATATGAAATTTTCTAACACAAATTTGACAGATTGGATGAAATTTTTGCCCAGAAACCAATTAGTCAGTTAATCGATGATGGTATGAAACCAAATTGAAGTACTGGGAGTCAAAATCCCGAATAAAATTGCAAAATCATATTGTCCCAATCTCTGTCCCATTTTCAGTTTTTGAAGATGAAATTTCCAGGACCCAAATTTTACAGTTGTGACTGATTTTTTCATCCGCAACCAATTAGTAAGTCAACTATAGATGCCAAATGACACGATTGAGGTGCTGGAAGTTTGATTTCGGTCAGAGGAAGCCCACAGCAGAAAGCTTAACAAAACGAAAAGTTGTATTTTCAAAATGCTGTCCCATTTTCAAATATGAAATTTTCTAACACAAATTTGACAGATTGGATGAAATTTTTGCCCAGAAACCAATTAGTCAGTTAATCGATGATGGTATGAAACCAAATTGAAGTACTGGGAGTCAAAATCCCGAATAAAATTGCAAAATCATATTGTCCCAATCTCTGTCCCATTTTCAGTTTTTGAAGATGAAATTTCCAGGACCCAAATTTTACAGTTGTGACTGATTTTTTCATCTGCAACCAATTAGTAAGTCAACTATAGATGCCAAATGACACGATTGAGGTGCTGGAAGTTTGATTTCGGTCAGAGGAAGCCCACAGCAGAAAGCTTAACAAAACGAAAAGTTGTATTTTCAAAATGCTGTCCCATTTTCAAATATGAAATTTTCTAACACAAATTTGACAGATTGGATGAAATTTTTGCCCAGAAACCAATTAGTCAGTTAATCGATGATGGTATGAAACCAAATTGAAGTACTGGGAGTCAAAATCCCGAATAAAATTGCAAAATCATATTGTCCCAATCTCTGTCCCATTTTCAGTTTTTGAAGATGAAATTTCCAGGACCCAAATTTTACAGTTGTGACTGATTTTTTCATCCTGCAACCAATTAGTAAGTCAACTATAGATGCCAAATGACACGATTGAGGTGCTGGAAGTTTGATTTCGGTCAGAGGAAGCCCACAGCAGAAAGCTTAACAAAACGAAAAGTTGTATTTTCAAAATGCTGTCCCATTTTCAAATATGAAATTTTCTAACACAAATTTGACAGATTGGATGAAATTTTTGCCCAGAAACCAATTAGTCAGTTAATCGATGATGGTATGAAACCAAATTGAAGTACTGGGAGTCAAAATCCCGAATAAAATTGCAAAATCATATTGTCCCAATCTCTGTCCCATTTTCAGTTTTTGAAGATGAAATTTCCAGGACCCAAATTTTACAGTTGTGACTGATTTTTTCATCCGCAACCAATTAGTAAGTCAACTATAGATGCCAAATGACACGATTGAGGTGCTGGAAGTTTGATTTCGGTCAGAGGAAGCCCACAGCAGAAAGCTTAACAAAACGAAAAGTTGTATTTTCAAAATGCTGTCCCATTTTCAAATATGAAATTTTCTAAACACAAATTTGACAGATTGGATGAAATTTTTGCCCAGAAACCAATTAGTCAGTTAATCGATGATGGTATGAAACCAAATTGAAGTACTGGGAGTCAAAATCCCGAATAAAATTGCAAAATCATATTGTCCCAATCTCTGTCCCATTTTCAGTTTTTGAAGATGAAATTTCCAGGACCCAAATTTTACAGTTGTGACTGATTTTTTCATCCGCAACCAATTAGTAAGTCAACTATAGATGCCAAATGACACGATTGAGGTGCTGGAAGTTTGATTTCGGTCAGAGGAAGCCCACAGCAGAAAGCTTAACAAAACGAAAAGTTGTATTTTCAAAATGCTGTCCCATTTTCAAATATGAAATTTTCTGAACACAAATTTGACAGATTGGATGAACTTTTTGCCCAGAAACCAATTAGTCAGTTAATCGATGATGGTATGAAACCAAATTGAGGTACTGGGAGTCAAAATCCCGAATAAAATTGCAAAATCATATTGTCCCAATCTCTGTCCCATTTTCAGTTTTTGAAGATGTACGCCACTGTATTGATCCCGAACTGAGAATGGGACAGTTCGGGATCATTAGAAATTTATCCAAGAAAACATTTCAACTATGCGACTCATATTAATTAATATTGTGTCTATATAGTCTATGTCCGTCTATGTCCGCCTATGTCCTGTCCTGTCCTGTCCTGTCCTGTCCAGTCCTTTTTGGATTCTATGAGACAAGCGGACATAGACGGACGTGACACCCCCCCACCCCCCCCCCCCCCAATAGTATACCTGTCACCAAGATGCAGTTATCCTGATTTTAAATTTTCAGTGCACTTTTGCCTTTTTTGGTGTATAGTAGTAAAAAGTGTAGTAAAAAGGTACACTTTATTTATACTATTTTACACTTTTAACTAAACTTAACCAAATTATGTTCTATCTATTTTTACAGCTCGACCAAAAGTTGCCCCACAAATCATTTCGAAAATGCGAACTTGTTTTGCCCAGTCCACTACACGGACGAAATGCGATTGTGTAGTCGAGATTTTATAACATGCTAGAGTTTAACTGATTAGGGTTAGAGTACAGGGTATGGTTATTAACTGCTCATCACAGATATTTAAGGAACGTGTTAAACTAATCACCTTATAGTGCAGCAGAGTGATTTATTATCGTTCACCTCACGTACCATATTTAATTCATTGATCCGGCCGGTTGTCATGACAGCGCGCACAATATTCACAAATTTCATCATCGCGTCTTACGTTTATGAGATTTCAATCAGATGCTACGGAAATTGCCACTTTGTCACAAAGACATCTTTTTTGATAGTTTTTAATCTTCGAATCAACCAGAATTTGTTAAGAAGAGGAAACAATCATTCTAATTGTTACCATGGTTACTATGGTTACCATTTTAATTGTATCAGTACATAAAAATCTCTTCTTGATATAGCTTTAGTATCCACTGTTAAAATTGTTACAAATTTGGAATCAAGTCCTTCTCAGACAATTTGACAATGGAGCTTTTTTATGTAAAATATATTTCAAATTACTGTATTCTAGTTATTTACAAACTGAGTCTGATTATTTTTCAGCGAAATAAACTAAAGAAAATCAGCTCAGCAGAAACATAATTTGAGAGCATCTATTTTATAATTTTGTAATTCAGCTGTAAGCCTCTCCAATGTTGTCGAACTCCGGAATAGATTTGAACACAGTTTTAAACTGAGATGAAACTAATAACTCGTCAGGCTTTTGTCTGAACGATTTGGTTCCATAGTCCACACTGAAAGTGATATGATGTTAACAAATAATTCAAATGATGTTGCCCCTTTCGCCAGTGAATAATTTACTCGACCTTTTTATCTACAATTAATAAAAACAGGAACTCGTTCATATTACGAACTCCTAGGCCGGTAACCTTAGCAACCGTAGGAAATGATACTCACATAGAAAACTGAGTATTGTTTGTGAAGTGATGGCATATAATCGTATTTCATCCTTGAGAACGGAGCAAACCTGCAAGTAAAGATATATAAATAGAGTTTTTTAAACAAGTTGAAAAAAGTGGAGAGTAATATTATCAACAAGCAGAAAAGCCCCCCCCCCCCCCCCCCCAACAAAAGAAGTACCCCCCCTGCCCCCCCGAGATAAGTTCATAGATCTGGTATTATTTGGGGAAGGTGATTAAGAAACTTCTCTTTATCAAAGGGAAACTCCACCTCAGATCAATAAATTCGTTTAACACCATTCTCCTTTAAACATCCTTTTCTCTGAAAAAAAAACGTTTTGGATTTAATCTGAGCCAAATCATCTATCAGTCAGAAAAAACAAAGATCAATTTATTGCAGTTAAAACCCATTCTCCAAAGTACCCAGGACAAACTATCCGAAAACCATCAGAATTAATAGGTCAAAACATAAGCCGCTCTAGGGGCTTACTTTCCGGCATCAAAAAGTCAACATATATGACTGCTTGGAACTCCCATCCATCAAAACAATTGTTTAATCAAAACAACTGCTCACTTACCACGTCCTCTTGTTTTAAGTCGTCTGCACTTTGAGAGTTGGTTTGAGTGACTTGAGCCGCTGCATGTACACAACGCTAGGGTTCTTAAACGGGCCCTGACACAAAGTTTAAGTAATAAATAGCATTGTTAAATGTTCTTTAAAAGTTGAAATTTCAAGACCGAAGTTTTACCAAATGCTTGACCTGCAATGAGTACTTTAAAGAATACCATAAAATATTTGAAACTAGATACCTTAAAAAGTGATGTGTGAACTCACTTGAACTCGTTTCAGGGGAGGAAGCTCAAACGTGGAGTTATCAACCGTCTTCTGAGCGGACTTGTGCCATTTGTTCTTCTTCTTGCCGAGATCCTTCGGAAACACGGCTTTTATCTGATCTTCAAACACTGACACCTCCTGCTCCTTCACAAACACTCCAGCTTTCTGGGGGTTGCGGTGGATTAGAAATCGCAGGAATGTAAATAATTTGTAATGTGCCGTAATAGACGCCTGGCACGGTAATGCACTACCGTTTTTAAAAGAAAAGGCTCTCTTGTAGTATTTTATGTCGAGCACTCATAGTACTAGGCTCTGTGAAGTGTACAGGGAATTCATTTTACCAGCTTAACAGTTGATTAGTCGTTAATTGACAGCAATATTCCGCATTATTCTATTATTAGAGTTAAGGATTGTGGAACACAACAAGAAAATTGAGAATAATCTATTAACTACCCAGTAACCAGGTATGGTTACTATGGTAACCGCCTGGGAGTGACGTTATGATCTTTACAGCTTTATTAACATTTGTCTAAATTCCCTCCCTCAAGTTGCTATGAATAACTTTATACACTAATCAATCCCTTAATTAATTTTAATATAACCAAATAACCCCCTCCACGCTTTAAATTAACGCTCGCTAGGAGGTCGCAGAAACATTTCTGCGGAACTTCAGAATATTTTCTCCGAATATGGCAGTCCATGGTGTGTCACAGTGTGTCACACCAGGTCATGTGACGTCACGCAGCAAGACTACCTCGCAAACCACTTAGCCTTCTTCTTTTCCTCTTTATCATCAGCCAAGTTCTATCCCGTGTCATTATTCCGCAGAATTCGGGAGAATTAATCGATTTGCACCTGAATCTGCTTCTGAATTTGGCAGTCCTTTAATTGTGGTCAGTTAATGATAATTAGATAATTGATTACGTTTGGATTGATGGGTTTACTACTGCTACTACATACAGTTGGACAGTTATTTAGTTAAACGGTGCAAAGTAAATCAGACTGACACATTGTATGTGATTTGTTGAACTTCAGTAGTTTGAACTTTGAAATTAACGTTACCAGCCGCGCCCTTGCTAAGGTTGCTAAGGTTACCGGCTGCGCCCTTGCTAAGGTTGCTAAGGTTACCGGCCTCGCCCTTGCTACGGTTACCAGCCGCACCCTTGCTAAGGTTATCGGCTGCACCCTCGCTAAGGTTGCTAAGGTTACCGGCCTCGCCCTTGCTAGGGTTGCTAAGGTTACCAGCCGCGCCCTTGCTAAGGTTGCTAAGGTTACCGGCCTCGCCCTTGCTAAGGTTGCTAAGGTTACCAGCCGCGCCCTTGCTAAGGTTGCTAAGGTTACCGGCCTCGCCCTTGCTAAGGTTGCTAAGGTTACTGGCCGTGACCTTGCTAGGGTTGCTAAGGTTACCGGTCACGCCCTTGCTAAGGATGCTAAGGTTACCGGTCACGCCCTTGCTAAGGATGCTAAGGTTACCGGCCTCGCCTTTGCTAAGGTTGCTAAGGTTACTGGCCGTGACCTTGCTAGGGTTGCTAAGGTTACCGGCCTCGCCTTTGCTAAGGTTGCTAAGGTTACTGGCCGTGACCTTGCTAGGGTTGCTAAGGTTACTGGCCGTGACCTTGCTAGGGTTGCTAAGGTTACCGGCCTCGCCCTTGCTAAGGTTGCTTAGGTTACCGGTCTCGCCCTTGCTAAGGTTGCTAAGGTTACTGGCCTCGCCCTTGCTAAGGTTGCTTAGGTTACAGGCCTCGCCCTTGCTAGGGTTGCTAAGGTTACTGGCCGTGACCTTGCACAGTGGGCTGTGAGTGGGGGTCATGCTAGCATAGGGTATTTTAGACCATCACACATGCCCCTAACTTTGTTTCTAAGGTAATTTGGGTACAAAAATACGATTCCAATCATTTACAGGGCCGAAAATGTCTCAGAAAAAATTTTTGGGCCGATTTTAAGCAATCTTGAAGTCCAAAAATAGGAGGCTGATCCCAGGAAAAGTTGTTTTTTAGAGGTTTAATCAATTTTAAAGCTCTTTTATGAACTGTAAACGAAGGACAGCTATCTTAGGAACTCAAATCTTTTTGAATTATGAAAAAATATTGATCAGAACAAAAGTTGTGCCCATTTATATGACCAAAATTTTCTGAAACACCAAAATTGTTCCTGTTATTTTCAAAAATTTCGTTTAAAATCAAGATATTTTGGATTTTTATCAATTTTAACTATAATAATTGTGATATTTTGATTTTTCATCCATATGCATCTGGTCTAGGATGCAAAAAATGCCACAAACATGGAGAATAACTAAAATATGTCAATTTAATAGCAAAATTGAGCTCATAAATTATCTAAAAATGCAGCAAATTTTACCCAATTTTTGAGTTTCTTAATTTTGTAAACAGAGTTGCCCAAAAGTGCCCAAAGTGATTCTTATTGCATCTGATAGGGAATTGTCTAAGCTTTCTGATGATACCATGCATTATACCGAACTATTGCAAACCAACAACGATTTCTGTCGTTAAATACCCCAAAAATTGCCTAAAATACACGCCATAAAAAAGGCGCGGTCAAAAATCAGGTGAAAATGTTAAAGTCACACAGTTTTTTTTAGATGTCTGAGTATTCTGAAGTACTATACTGTATTTCAATTATTAAAAACTGCCTTGATCAGGCATTTTAGCCCAAAATAATAAATATTAGGCAATTTTTGGCTAAAAAAGGCAAAATTTCTTGACAGTGAAAAATGCTATTTTTTCACGCGACGCCATTTTGGCATCTTGCAAAGTTTTTAATTACGGTATTTTGCATGAAATCGGGCTAGCTTTTTACAATAAGGTAAGCTTATTTTCAAAGAAATTTAAGAAAGTCGATTTTAGGCCTATGCTAGCATGGTAGCCCACTGTGCCTTGCTAGGGTTGCTAAGGTTACCGGCCTCGCCCTTGCTAAGGTTGCTAAGGTTACCGGCCTCGCCCTTGCTAAGGTTGCTAAGGTTACAGGCCTCGCCCTTGCTAAGGTTGCTTAGGTTACCGGTCTCGCCCTTGCTAAGGTTGCTTAGGTTACCGGTCTCGCCCTTGCTAAGGTTGCTAAGGTTACCGGCCTCGCCCTTGCTAGGGTTGCTAAGGTTACCGGCCTCGCCCTTGCTAAGGTTGCTTAGGTTACCGGTCTCGCCCTTGCTAAGGTTGCTAAGGTTACTGGCCTCGCCCTTGCTAAGGTCGCTAAGGTTACCGGCCTCGCCCTTGCTAGGGTTGCTAAGGTTACCGGCCTCGCCCTTGCTAAGGTTGCTAAGGTTACTGGCCGTGACCTTGCTAGGGTTGCTAAGGTTACCGGCCGCGCCCTTGCTAAGGTTGCTAAGGTTACCGGCCTCGCCCTCGCTAGGGTTGCTAAGGTTACCGGCCTCGCCTTTGCTAAGGTTGCTAAGGTTACTTGCCGTGACCTTGCTAAGGTTACCCTTTTAAATCAGTTGACGACTAACACAACGAAAACGGAAGAACAGAAATAACTAAGGAAGTTTCCGCTTCTTTTTTGCCAAGAATGTTTGGCTTGAACTTGGTTCAGTTTCATTAAAGGAAAATGCTTTATTTGCGATACTCCCTGCAAAACGCTCAAAGATGCTTAATGCTTATCTAAAATATTAAGTAATCACTTGTTTTTACCACCGCCCCCCCCCCCCTCCGTAATCAGTGTCACACAGTTATTGTATTAAAAGTATATTAGTAATATGTGAACACAGTCGAGGGATGGGAGATCACGTGGCCCCAGCACTCAATAAAGCGGAGGTGGAGGAGCTTTACGAACTGTTTGATAAGTATGATGATGACGGGAACGGGGAACTAGAGCTGGACGAACTCGCTAAAATGATGAGCAATCTAGGTAACCATAGTAACTATAGTAACTATAGTAAATATAGTAACCATAGTAACCATAGTAGCCATAGTAACCACAGCAGCCATAATAACCATGGTAACCATAGTAATATGTTGTGTGGACTAGTGTACGCTGCTCTCTTAGCTCGCTAAAATGATGAGCAATCTAGGTCATTATATTTTCATCAAATCCAGAAATGATTAGATAATTAGTTAGCCATTTAATTAACTTATAGTAGGACTTTTAAATAATGCACAACTACACAGGAGTGATAGCAACTAAAGAAGATTTAAAGAATTTGTTAGAAGCAATAGATGACGACATCAGTGGGACCATTGACTGTTGGGAACTTGTTGAGTATATTGACCGGTTAATGTCAGACGAATTCACGTGAGCTTTATTTTCACTCCTTATATGGGCATTACTTGTAGTAGTAACCATGGTAATTATCTACCATTAATACTTGTAGTAGTATATCATTATTACTACAATATCATTATTGTTATATTATTGCTACTTTATTGATACAGTATTGCAATAGTAGATGCTTATTGTAACCATGGTAACCATAGTAACTACGGTATTGTCACTCTGCAAGTAGCTGGCTGCAATAAAATCTGAATCAATTAAAAATTTAGCAAATTTTAGGAAACAATAAAAATCTTTAAGGAGGTTACTTTGGAACAATGACTCAGATTTGGTTTCATAGATTAGCGACCAAAGAAGACATGAAACATTTGTTAGAAGCAATAGAAAAAGAAATCAGCAGTAGGATAGTCGACTGGAAACTTGTTGAAGAAATTGACAAAAACTTGTCAGAAACTTTCACGTGAGCTCTATTGTCACTCCTTATATGGGCATTACTTGTAGTAGTAACTATGGTAACTATCTACTAGACACTTTCACGTGACTGTAAATTGTAAAATAATGGTAGGAATTTGATGAATTCTAAAACCAAAGGCTCGAATGTTTCGAAGAATGAGAAATTTTGATTGGTCTGCTCTAGGCCATCGTAGGAATGTCTGACAATAACGTAACCATGGTAACTATCTACCATGAGCAGCTATCATTGCTACATTATTACTGAGTTACTGCTATATCATTGCTATATCATTGCCATTACTCCAGGAATGACGAGCTGATTGAAGCGTTTAACATGATAGACAAGGACTCAGGAGGGGAGATATCACTGGATGAGTTGCGGGATGCTATGAACTGTGCAGATGTGGGCATCACCCAGCCAGAAATGAAATACTTGTTCCGCAAAGTGAGAAACAGATTTTACTATTTAATTAATTAATTAGATCAATTGA